TATTTGAAAACTTTTAACGATTATAAAAATATCATTAGGAAATAATTTAGTTAAACTGAGATTGCAATTTAGTTTTTGCATTTAGCATTACAATTTATCACTTTTAACTATTCACAAAATATTTATTGGGTTTTTTAAGTGGAACTGAAATCTATATTTAAGTTGACTCTGTAATGTTATATTTAAATTAACAATTTAAGTATTTTGTCCAAACAGTTCAAAAGTTGTGGCTTTACACTGATAATGGTTTATATACAATAACATATTAAATTTAATAAATTAATTATAATATGTTAAAAGTTAAAGTCATAACTTTATAAGTAGGAAGTAAAGATATTATTTTAATATTGAAATTTAGTTTATTTATGGTTACACTTTAGGTTTGATATTTATTTAACCTTATTGACTAAATTATAATCATTATTAGAAAGACATTACAATTTATCACTTTTAATTATTTACAAAATATTTTTTGGGTCGTTTAAGTTAAACTAAAATTTATATTGAAGTTGACCATGTAATATGATATTTAAATTAATAATTTAAGTATTTTATACAAATTGTTCAAAATTTATAGCTTTAAAATGATAATGGTTTACATCCAACAATATATTAAAATTAATAAATTAAGTATAATATGTTAAAGTTAAAAAAAACATAACTTTATATGTAGAAGTAAAGATATTTTTAATATTGAAATTTAGTTTATATATGATTACACTTTAGGTTTGATATTTATTTAACCTTATTAACCAACTTATAATCATTACTAGAAAGAAATTAAAAAGTCATAGGAGTTTCAAATGAATGTGGTGAAAGGAAAAAATGCATGGGAGTTTCAAATGAATGTGGTGAAAGGAAAAATGTTTCCTTAATAGTATAGTATGATATGATATGATGATTTGGCGAATGTCCGTGAGTTGCACAAATATAAGTAAAATATTGAAAAATATATTGTTATTAATATATATATATATATATATATATATATATATATATATATATACCATTGTTGCTAACTTTGAGTTAATAATTCTAACACTAACTTGCTATATGTGACATCCCCAAATTCACAGTTATTTTAAAAATTTTATTTATGCTTATTGAAGAACAATAATGCGGAAGTTGTTCCTAGAAAAACATGATAAATATATTATCAAAGCATTTCCGAAGAAATGTATTTTTATTTATATTAAAACATCGGAATGTCATATTCAATACAGAAACATAAGCATAAACAGAACTTACATTCATTTACACTAATGATTTACATCTCATTTACTCTCTCGGTGTAATGTATCTTCACATCAATACCTGTGATAAAAATAAATTGAGTGGGTCAGGTTGGGAAACCTAGTGAGTACATAAGGTTTTCAACCTACAATAATATAGTTAATTTGTTTCTTCACATACTTAATGTTGAAATGTTAACCTGATTACCCATCCCCATTACCTTCTTTATTCTTAAGGATCTACCCTAAGAATCATTTATTCTTCCATATTTATTCCTAACGATTGTCCTAAGGAATAGGCACGAAGTCCATCGCTGCCAGGGTTTATCTAACAGGCACTAAGTCCATAGTTGCCGATGTTATCTATGAGGCATTAAATCCATAGCTGCCAACGTTCATTTGTAAGACACTAAATCCATAGTTGCCAATGATCATCTATAGGGCACTAAATCTATAGCTGCCAACGTCCATTCATAAGGCACTAAGTCCATAGTTGTCAGGGTTTTTAGAGTACATATGGTGAACACGTAGTTCAAAAACACCTACAGGTTGCAAGTCTGCTAGCGTTCCATTAGACTGGCTAGAATAGTTCGTGGTCGTCATCTATACTCTGCTAGATGACTGTATCATCGCTAAGGTCAAGACTTCTCATCATATTTCACCTCTCATCATCTATATCATCTTTCACCTCTCATCTTTCATCTACCCATCTTTACCCAATATATTTATAGGTATAAAAATACATATACAGTTTAAATCAAGTAAAACATGTATAAATCGTTCATCTAGCATAGATATCAGAAATACAGGTAATAAGCACATATAGCAAGTATTAAAATTAAATACTTCATATCTATGTGTAAGATGAAAGTAACTATGCACTCACTTGTTAAAGTGATGACTCCAAACTCGGGCAGCGCTTCGCTTCTAACAATTTTATTTTCCTTCGACGAAACCTAGTATCATTATCACTAGATTGTAGTCTAACATTGCGACTAATTATTAGTCTAGATTTATTATTAACTCAAGGTCTACGAGCAATATTTTTTTTCTTGTATTATATAAGTGTTAAACAATACTTTTCAACTACTATGTATAGATAGGGGTCAGACATGAAATATCGGAGGGCAGGACCATTTTGGCATTTAAGCTGTTCCGAAATCCAACAACCCCATACCGTGAGCAGTTAAAAGGTATTATGACAACACTTTGTATAATTTATTATACTTAGCACATATATTGTTTATAGGTTCATAATAACGATAATGAACTTAAACATAAGTTATACGTAAAGTAGGGTCACCATAACTTACTTACAAGGGGGTTTTAGCTAGGAGTCGGGCTCTGCAGAGGCAGAACTTCGTCGCTGAATCTTTCTAAAAAGATTCTTGTAGCGCTTCAGCGCTCACTTACTATACTAAAACTACAGAAAGAGAAGTCAAATCACGAGGGACCGAAATGCTCGGGGGATAAGAAGATAAAGACTCTTGAATCAAGAGAATGGTGCACGAAATATGAGGGCCTAGATCCTCTTTTTTATAGTAATTGAATTTTCAAAAACCACATTTTGTAGTAACTTACTTAATGACCTTATAGTTATTTAAAAGACTAAACACCCATATATAATACTATTTAAATAGATTTAACGATATTTGTACTAAACTAATGTCGAAAGTACTCAACACTAGTCTTATAACGACCGCATCGTTGATACCTTTTTAATGTTATATATATATATATATATATATATATATATATATATATATATATATATATATATATATATATAGAGAGAGAGAGAAAGAGAGAGGGGGGGGGGGGGTCAGGTATTCTAACTAATTATTGTATGGATGTAGGAATGATTGTGAGTCAATCATTTCAAAAACCTAAATAAGGGTTAAATAGTAATTTTAACCATTAATTAATTTTAATAATTAAATATTAAATTATTATTACCTTTAATTTAGGCAAATTAATGGAAACTGGTTACTGAGCCCTACAACAATATTACACGATGGAACCTCTTAGCCCAACCATGTTTCAAAATCCCCTCCCCCCCTCTCCGAATACGTCCCCAAACCGGAAGTCGAATTTGTCCAAAAAACCCAACCCGATTCCAAACCAGTAAACGAGCCCGAACACCAAATTTTTCAGGAAACCCAACCCAAATCATCCAACCCCAAAAGACAATGAAAAGGAAAAGCATTTTTTGGTTCGAAATGAGAAGATTGCATCTCAATAATGGCAACTAGATGAAGAGATGGTTTTAGCGCAATCATGGGTCGACATTTCGGAGGATTCAAGAACCGGAAACGCGCAAAAACATGACCATTTTTGGCGACACGTTATGTAGCGATTTCTTAAAGTGATGGGTCGTGACAATTAGCATAAAGACCAATGTAATAGTAAGTTTCACGAGATGAACAAATATGTCACAAAATTCAACAACTATTACAACAATTTGGAAAGTCAACAAAAAGGTGGGGAATTTGATGGACAAATTTTAAAGACGGCCCTTAAAAATTTTCGTGTTGATAATAATAAGAATTCGTTCAAATTTCGCTATATTTGGAGGTTTTTATCCAAGTCCCCGAATGGATAGAAGATTTTGGTAGCGAAGAAGGTGATTCTAAAAGAACCAAAGTTTTCGAGATAAGTTACACTACTTCATCGGATGCACACTTTGTGGTTGATTTGAACGAAGTGCTCGGGCTTGAAGAGGTAGTTCGGTCAATTGGTCGAGATAAGATGAAAAAGATAGGCTCTTCGTCCAATACATCGAGAACGGAAAGAGGAAATGACATTCACAGAGTTGATGGTAGTTTCGAAGTTTATAATTTGAATTATGAAAGTCGTTTCAGTTTTGAAAAAGAAAAGTTGGAGGAGAAACAAATAGCTCGAGAGGAGAAGTAAAGAAGTCGGGGTATGAAATTTTTAATAAAACTTTCCGATCACCTCACTGGTAACGAGCTTAATATGGTTTTGAGGGTTATAGCAGACATCATGAAAAATTATTACAAGTAGTGTTTTTATTTAATTGTCGTTTTTATCTATGTAATCGTTTTATGCATTGTTTTTATTTAATTGTTGTTTTTTAGCTATGTAATTATTTTTCCTTTTATTAATTTTATTAAATTATATTTTATTCAAATAAAAAAAATAAAATAAAATAAAATAAAATAAAAATAAAAGTGTGGTATGACACCCACCAGTTTTATGGTGTGAAAGAAAACTAAAATGATGATGACGTGACAGTGCAATACTGTGGTATTGTGTGGTATAACACTCATCAATTGCAATACTATGGTATTGTGTGATATAACACTCATCAATCTTAGTGATAGGTTAATTAACTTAAAATATAAATATCAAAGTTACTTATCTTATTGATAAATTGATTACCATAAAAACAAAAAATGATTAGACAAGTGCAACTTCATAAGCATTTTGAAGATGACAAAACCCAATAGTTGTCACCAAGAATAAAATACAAGTATATCTTACAAAAAAAAATGTGACTTTTGATCCCCAATCTTATTATATACAATTTTTTATTCATCCGTCCCTTTGCCAAATTAAACCCCAAATTTTGTATGTGTTTGACCATTTAAACGCCACTTGCTCACATAAGTTTACAATCTTTAATACACAATGTACAAATCATTGCAGCATAACTATCTTGCATTCACGAATTTGAGCTCTGGGAAAAAGGAGTTGACTCCCCATATAAATACGAGTTCTAGAGAAAGGTTTTTATCAATAAAACACACAAAAACAAAGAGCACCTTACTTTCTTTAGAAAGTTGTATTCATGGCAATAAAGATTGTACAACCAACTGTTGGTTTATCAAAGATTGCAGTTTCAGAAACCCATGGAGAAAACTCTCCATATTTTGCTGGATGGAAAGCTTATGATGAAAACCCATATCATGAAAAACATAACCCTCATGGGGTTATACAAATGGGGTTAGCAGAAAATCAAGTAAGCACTAATGCATCAAATCTCATCAAAAACTGTATAGTTAAGTCTGTCTACATTTACATGACCTAACAGTTTATGGGTTTTGGTTTTCTTGAACAGGTGTCATTTGATTTGCTTGAAGAATATTTGGAATCTAATCAAGAAGCAGCAAGTTGGGGCAAAAGGGTTTCTGGTTTTAGAGAGAATGCTTTGTTTCAAGACTACCATGGCCTTTTAACTTTCAGAAAGGTACAACCTTTTCCACAATATGTACTAACACATGTGCATAGTTTATGATCAGGGATTAAAAAAACTAACTAGTGTACATTTGGGTTTATAGGCAATGGCAAGTTTTATGGAACAAGTGAGGGGAGGAAGAGCAAAATTCGACCCTGAAAGAGTCGTTTTGACTGCGGGTGCAACAGCTGCTAATGAGCTTTTAACTTTCATTTTAGCAAATCCTGGTGACGCGTTGCTTGTCCCCACTCCTTACTATCCAGGGTATGAAAGTTTTCTTCATTTTGAAACTATTTAATTTGTTTTCATGAATATTTCTTTAAAGTCCACTTAATATGTGGACCTTTATCGCCTCTATATCACCTGGTTTCAAGAATGTTGAAACAAATGGCAATGATGGGTCCACTTGATATGTGACCTCTGACATATTAGTTAATACCGAAACTTTGATCTTTTAACACATAAAATTATATACTTATTATGATTTGTGTTTTATTGACATAATTTCATGAATGTTTCAGATTCGATCGAGATTTGAGATGGAGAACTGGTGTGGAAATTGTGCCAATCCATTGCGAAAGCTCAAACAATTTCCAAATTACTCCGGAAGCCTTAGAATCTGCATATGATCATGCAAGATCAATGAACATGAAAGTACGAGGGGTTCTAATAACGAACCCCTCGAACCCGTTGGGTGCAACCATCCAACGGAAAGTTCTAGAACAGATCTTGGACTTCGTCACGAGAAAAAACATTCATTTAGTCTCGGACGAAATCTATTCAGGATCTGTATTCCATTCTGACGAATTTGTCAGTATTGCAGAGATCCTTGAATCACGAAACTACAAAGATTCCGAACGTTGTCACATCGTTTATAGTCTCTCGAAAGATCTTGGTCTTCCGGGTTTCCGAGTGGGAACCGTGTACTCGTATAATGATCAAGTAGTGACAACTGCTCGAAGAATGTCTAGTTTTACCCTAATTTCATCGCAAACCCAGTTTCTATTGGCGTCTATGTTATCAAATAAGGAATTCACTGAAAAGTATATAAAGATCAATCGAGAAAGATTGAGGAAACGATATGAAATGATTGTTGACGGGTTGAAGAAGGCCGGAATCGAGTGTTTAAAAGGGAATGCTGGGCTGTTTTGTTGGATGAATTTGAGTCCTTACTTGAAGGAGGCAACAAAAGAAGGTGAACTGGAGATCTGGAAGACGATAATGGAGGAAGTGAAGCTGAACATCTCGCCGGGAAGTTCTTGCCGGTGCTCCGACCCCGGTTGGTTTAGGGTTTGTTTTGCAAATATGAGTGAAGAAACACTTAATGTTGCACTCAGGAGATTGCATGAGTTTATGGATAGAAGGAGAAGAGATACACATGTCTTGTCTATGTAAACTTCCCTTTATTCAAAATTTTGAACTTTAACCTCAAATCAAGAACTAGGGTTTTTCTTAATTTATGGAAAACTATGAGAATAAAAAAACATGCTTAGACTATTAATAGATTCATCGAATACATGAATACATCTTATCGTACAGCGAGAGTGAGATTTAATAAAACAATTTTATCAATTTGACTAAAAGAAAGAAATAGTAAGTATATAAAATGGTAAAAGAAATAGTTTAAATCTAAATTTAACATAAGATGTTAAAAGCTAGGAAAACTGGTAGTTTGATAGTAAATTGCAGTTTTGATCCTTACGATTTGGTTAGCTTCATATCCCTTGCTACCAATTTTTATAATTTTCAATAATAGGAAAAAGACAAAATTGTAAAAATGGTCCTTATTGAATGTATTTTTTTTTTTGGTTTGGTCCAAACTTCGATTTTTTTGGATTGAAGTCTTTTTGGGCTAGTTTTTTTTTTGGTTTTGGTCCCTCAGAAAACTAAAAAAAGACTAAAATACAATTTTATTTTTATTTTTACATTTTTAAAACTTATTTTTATATTTTATTAAATAAAAAACAAAAAAGACATCTCTCTCTCTCTCTCTCTCTCTCTCTCTCTCTCTCTCTCTCTCTCTCTCTCTCTCTCTCTCTCTCTCTCTCTCTCTCTCTCTCTAGTTCCTCTTTGTATCAAATTGATTTACCAGTGGAAAAGAAAATCAAGTGGAACAATTCATGTGTTCATCTATATGCATAAAAAAATCAAAGATCTCAAAACTATAATTACCAGATACGCTAAGAAGGATTGAGCTTGCTAAAAAATCAAAGATCTCAAAAACGATGGGGGTCAAAGACCCACCTGTTAAGGATCGTTTGTTTCTCATGTCAGCAAATCCCTGAATCTCGATTATATGAACCAATGATAATCAATGAAGTAGATCGAACAGCCAATCACCCCCCAGATTCTTCAATTGTAGAAACAAACAATTTACAGTTCATAACCAAATTATTGTAGAAATAGCTTCAGATCTAACCTACCTACAATTTTCATCACAACTTCGTATTACAACCTAATATAACCAAAGCGATGGAGAAATTCTTCATCCTTGGTGGCAGAGAACAAAGCAGATATGAAGTTCTAATTCCATCATCTTCTTTTGATTTCATCCAAAAATTAACCCATATCCAAAAACTAACCCAAATCAAGTTTCTTTTGGGTTTAAAGTCGTCCTACCGGATTCATGCATCTGGATCTACATCCGTTGTTGGAGTTTGATCGAAGAGTGCATCTTGGTCTACCCCATCACCGCCTGAAAATTAAAGATTTGGTGCCTGTTATCTTGTATTTTGGCAGTTGTTGATGAAGGAAGAGGAGGAATACGGTCATGACTTCCCAGTGTTATCACAATTCATTGCCAGATTTCGAAGTTTGGGAACGTGAAGAGTAGGATCGCCGCTGGACACAGTGGTCGGAATCTTCCCGTTTAAGAAGCACTTGATGATGAAGGATGGGTGGTGGTGGGTGCAGATATAAGAGAGAGAGAGAGAGAGAGAGAGAGAGAGAGAGAGAGAGAGAGAGAGAGAGAGAGAAAAGAGATAGAGAGAGAAAAAAGAGAGATAGAGAGAGAGAGGGTGGGTCCTTTTTTGTTTTTTAATTAATAAAATATAAAAATAAGTTTTAAAAAATGTAAAAATAAAAATAAAAGGCCATTTTAGTCTTGTTAGTTTTTTGAGGGACCAAAAAAACTAGCTCAAAAGGATTTCAATCCAAAAAATCGAGGTTTGGACCAAACGTCAGAAAAAATGCATACCACAGGGACATTTTCACAGTTTTGTCTTGGAAAAAAACCTCAATCCACCTCGCACCCCTACCCTACCCCTTCTTCTCTCCTTTTCTCTTTATTCTCACCTCTTTCTTGTCTGTACCACCTAAACCCAAAAACTTCACCGCCTCCTTCCTTCTTCTTCTCCTACCACCGACGACCCAATCTCCTCTAACCTTCTACACTCCCTGATTAAACCTTCTCTCATCTCTTGGCTTCATCTTCTCCAATGGAACCCTAGTTGACCTAATCAAGAAATTTGGAAAAGCTTATCATAAAATGATTTGAAAGGCTATATTAGGTCAATTCTATGTTAGTTAACTCATATTCACAAGAAAGGGTACGTTCATTGTGACCTACACCATAAAATGTAATGCTTGTAGCGAATTCAAGAGATGGTTTCACTAGAAAAACGAGCAAAACAGAGCACAAAGCACAAGTTAGGTCCTTACTAGAGAGGTACCCCTATGTACTTATCATATAAAGATGTTATTAATGGTGTTTAAGAGCCTCCTTCTGATGTTTGGGGAATTGGTGTATTGTGTTCGGGAGATGTTGACAAGAAAACCACTTTGGTTTTCTAAAAAAAAAATTATCTTGGTGTTTGTATTCATTAGGCTAGTTAGGGCGTTTGAATTAGAACAAGGGCTTAAGATGATAGTGGTGTATGGTGGCTCAGTTGTTGATGTTGTCGGTTCGATGATGTAGAAATAGTGAAAGGCTTCTAACTATGGTTGTCGTTTGTAGACCGATGCTTGATTTGATGGTAGTTGCTCAGTGAAGATGTAAAGAAATGGCGATAATCCAGGTGGTGGCAGTAGGAAAAAGATGAGAAGACGAAGGTGTGGTCAACGTCTACATCGGGTTTTTATATGTGGTCTTTCCGAGAGAGAGAGAGAGAGAGAGAGAGAGAGAGAGAGAGAGAGATGGTAGGCCCATAATTTATTTTATATTTTTAAAATTTATAAATTTAGTAAAAAGAAGAGAGGAAAATAGAAAGCTTAATTTGGTATAGATGTAGGATTTCAAATTTTACAATCAGGGACCAAAATTACGAATTTAACTAAATTATAGGAACTATTTTTGTAATTTACTTTTTGATATATTAATTATTTTTTTAGAACGACAAATTAATCTAATCCTAAACTACTCATAAATCTACCTATGTCTCGTACAAGACTTGAACTCTCAACTTCAAAGAAGAAGGGCAACACCTAATATCGTTGGGCTAGAAGCCCTTTGGTTTTTGATGTATTAAATGGTATGAAAAACTAATATTCTGCATAAATAAGTAAAATAGTGGTAAGTACCTTTTTTTGCAATTAGCTATAACAAATACAAATATGATGATTTTTTTTTGGCTTTGGTAACCATAAAATGATATCTAGTCATTAGAAAGTTTAATTCCTCATACTTTGAATGTCTTTACAAAGGATGATAAAATTTTCATCAATGAGTAAAGTCAAAGAATCTTTTCATAAATTTGATTTGGAAGATATAAATTATCTTTTGATCTCGTATGAAGTGACATCAGAATGTTAGAAATTAGTTGGTAATGATAATCGAGTCATATGATTAACGAAAGAGAGAGATTACAAGGTTCTTGAAAAGTATGAAAACAAAAAACAAGATGGGGAATATAAAGGCAAGCGAAGCTAACCTAAACCTAATGGGCTAAAAACAAAAAGGATCCCAAAACAAGTAGGCTTATAATAAACATATATATATATATATATATATATATATATATATATATATATATATGTGTGTGTGTGTGTGTGTGTGTGTGTGTGTTTGTGTGTGTGTATGTATATGCTAACACCCCCCCTCAAACTCACAATGCCACCGTAATAAGCATTGAGAGTTTGTCACACAAGAACCAAAAACGAGACCCTGACAAAGCCTTGTAAAAATATCAGCAAGCTACAAGGTGGATGGAACAAATAGAAGCGATATGGTCCCAAGCTGTAAGTGATGACGGGTGAAGTGACAATCAATCTCAATGTGCTTCGTCCGTTCATGGAAAACATAATTCTTCGCAATCTGTATCGCACTTTTGTTATCACAATGCAAGGAAGTATGTGAAGAAATGTGAACCCCTATATCTGTAAGAAGCCACCGTAACCAGATAATCTCACGTGTAGTCACAGTCATAGCACAATACTCAGCCTCCGTTGAACATCAAGAAACAACGTCTTTTTTCTTACTCTTTCAAGAAATGAGAGACTCTCCAAGAAACACTCAAAATCTGATGGTGTATTTTCGATCATGACAATCATCATCCCAATCAGCATCACTATAGGCACGCAACTCAAGAAATGACGTCGAGGGAAACAAGAGGGTCTAAAACTGAGTGCAACGAAGATATCTCAGAATACGAAGAACAGCCCCCCCAATGAACAGACGTAGTAGCAGTAACAAAACTGACTGACAACATGAACAACATGAGCAATGTCCAGACGAGTAATTGTGAGATAAACCAAACTTCCCACGATAGTCCGGTAAAGATTCGGATAGGATAAAGGAACACCATCAGTAGGAGAGTACCGTGCATTAGTTTCAAGAGGAGTATCTATAGTTCGATTGTCAGAGAGGCCCGCCAGTGTAAACAAGTCAGATATATATTTAGTCTGAGAAAGAAGATACCCTTTCTTAGATTCAGCTACCTCAATACCAAAGAAATAACGCAACAAGCCGAAATCGTTCATAGCAAATCGAAGAGCTAGATCATGCTTCAAAGAATCAATACCACCATGGTCATCACCAGTAATAATCATGTCATCCACATATAAGGACAAAAGAGTCCGTCCTGCGCTTGAGCATCTAATAAACAAAGCCGAATCATGATTACTCTAAACAAATCCAATATAGGTAATCAATGTGGATAATTTCTCAAACCAAGCATGTGGTGCTTGCTTGAGACAATACAAAGATTTGTGAAGCCGACAAACCTCACCGGCTGATGCTGAATTCCTAGGGGAGGAGACATATAAACCTCTTCATGGAGATCACCATTCAAAGAGGCATTTTTGACATCCATTTGAAAGATCTTCCACTGTCGAACAAATGCAACTGCAATCATAATACGTACTGTCGTCATCTTTTCCACTGGGGCAAAGGTCTCCTCATAGTCAAAACCGTACTGTTGAGAATACCATTTTGCTACAAGTCTTGCCTTGTACCACTC